CCATGTTTTGTTCTTATAATAGTAAAGTGAATTTTTTTGGTGTTTGGTAGAAAACATTGTTTTCTATGAGCTATAGAAAAATTAACTCTACTATTATAAGGACGGAACAAATTTTTATTCGAGTCATATAAAAGAGCGTCCTTGATAACACCAGATTGGCTCGAACAACAGTGTGTTCCGTCCTTATAATAGTAGAGTTAATTTTTCTATAGCTCATAGAAAATAGTGTTTTCTACCAAACACCAAAAAAATTCACTTTACTATTATAAGGACGAAACATGGTGTTATTCGGGCCATATGAAAGAGCATCATTGATGACCACTGATTGGCCTGAACAACACTATGTTTTGTCCTTACAATATTAAAATTCAAGCCTTCCGTTAAGAGTCTTATGCTGATTTTTTCAGAAGGTATGGAACCTCGTTGTTCCTGAAAAGTTCACCATGGGCAGAAATCCTTTATACGCGGGTACTGTACTCATTGAGCTCTACAAAATAACAAATACCCGACTCGAAACGGAGACTTACACTTGGGGACCTTCCCTCGTAAGACAGCTACCTTTATGTGTTGTTGTCTATGACGACAATAATTATAATGTCTCTATTGCTGATGCGTTGAAAAATCGTATTTTGAAATACAAGCTTGAGGGAAGTAGTGTATTCTATGTTTGATATGTTCGTTTGAGTTCAATTCGGTTCGACGTTCAATTGAATGGAACAATTTGATGTGACTACGCTTTGATTTCACTATAGGAGAATATATTCTATGTCAATCTATCGTACGCAGCAGATCTATTTGAAATCGCAAGAACGAGAAACAATATACACAGAAGAACAATCGTTTCAAGGACTATGCGACTTGTTTGCTTCGTTTTGTTGTGTATGTTAAAAGTGAAATCGAAAAATAAACTTGGAAAGGCAGGGAATATTTCTTCCCTATAGTTGACACTCTGTTGCAATAGTATACTGTGATGAAATAGTTATGAGAACTTTTAGATTTTTGTTGAAAGGGACAGTTATGTCACGAAGACTGTTGTTTGTCATATGACTATTTTTTTCTTTTTTTATCTCTTTAAGTCAGTATTGTTTTATGTGCAGCAGTAAAATGTCTATACAGAGACAATTGTGATCGATTCACACTTAATTTTGTAAAAGAGACAATAAATGAGGAGAGAGCAACCATATTTTTTCTCGTTCTATGCCGCTGTCTCTATCGATAATTGCAATCTTCAATTACAAGTGAAAATTGAGTATACCATTAATTTCACAAGTTTTGCATATTGTTTTCTGGTTCGATGGAGGTGCTTCATTATGGTTTGGAAATTGATACTTTTCGTTTCGATAGAAGAATGCGTCATCAATTTTTCATCTTTAACCAATATTCAATATATGTTATAAGAAGAAGAGCAATAAAAAAAAACGATATTTTCTCCGTAAAAAAAGCTCTCTCAATTTGTTCATTCAAGAATGACCAAGCCTTGTATGTCTTTTTGGCATACGATGATTTTTAAAATTGATTTTTCGCGAAAATAGTCGCTGTTATTATGTGTCACGTCATGCAATATTAGTGATTCGTTTTTCACTGAAGAATCATTTGAAATTATAGTTTAGTAATGGAGATATTTGTTGAGCTAGCTGACTATCAACATTGCGTCCAGGAATATTTACAGAAATGTCGAAGCAATTTTTTTGAAACTCAACATATCTCTTTGATCTTGCTACTTTACGGAATGTGCGAGTATTTTGACATAATTGAAAAAAGCTAGAATTTTCACATATTTTGACTTAGCAACTCATGTCGATATTAAAATGGAATAATTTGTTCAGTTTTTAATGGATTCATTACAGAAACCAATTTGAAGCAACAGTTATTTCACTAAATGTCTTGATATTTTCTGTTCAGATCATTTTAACATGGGCTCTCAGTATTTACGTATTAAATTCAAAAGTATCATAGATATTGGATTTTCTCTTTTCTAAGGTATCGCGCAGACTTGTACAGCTACATCTCAATAGATAAAAATGCTAATTTCTGCAATGAACATGATTTATTTCGAGGCACATTCACATGTAGCTATGCTAAAAAGACGATAGTCGAGTGAATGATTTTTTTATGTTTCTTGTTCTTTCCGGTTGACTGATCACTTGTAGAACAACTATAAAATTGTGTGTCTCTGTCTCACAATTTCTATTACTATTCTTTTTCAATTTAGAGGTACTGTTGAAGGTAAGCATTTGCCATTATACTAGTGTAAATGTCGCTTAGCTTGAATATAACTTTATGAGCATTCACGAACTTTAGATAGAATTCGCTTCAATCTAACAAAAATTCAACAAAAAACATATCACCATGTCTGAAAGGAAAAATTCTGATAATTATTTGAAAACTTGAGCAGGTTTTCGTCTGTCTGATAAAATGAAATTTGGTTATGAGGGTAAGAAAAGTCGATACGTGACTGCAAGAGAGGTTTTCTTTGGTATAGCTTTTATCTGTATCGTTTCTGAATATTATTGCATTATTGCTCAATTACTTCTTTCGTTTTATTTGCAGTAAAAAGTAAATCAAAAGAATAATTTTGAAATTGATACCTTCATAATTAACCAGAAAACATAATTGAAAATGGTCAAACACGATATAATTTGTTTATTGGGTAATCGTGGTTGTGGTAAATCGAATATTTGTGAAATGATAAATTCGAAAAATGATGCTAACAACAGTACTATTGTTGCCATTGAACCTAGTAATGGGCTAGGTGTAAAATATGGAATTGATCTAAATATTGTCGATAAATTGACATTAGAATATACTTTTGATGCAGCAGATTTCAATAAAATTATATTACCAGATCAAGCAATAAATCAAGAACAAATTTATTGGATTATCTTAGATTGTGAAACTGATACAATTCTAAAACGAATACAATCACGACCTTCAAGAGATATTTGGGAAACACGAAAAGCTTTAAACTATTTCCAACAACGTTTTCGTCATTTGAGTGCTCATTTTGGTATACCGTTTGTTGATGCAACACAACGAACATTGGAACAAGTTTATGATGAAGTACTTGATATCGTTAGAAAATATTCAGACTATTATCGATATTATCGTCAAATGAGTACTCAAACACTTAATTATAATCAAATTCAAGAATGTGATCTTGAAAATAAGCTTTATAAAACGATAAATACCTATGATATTGACAAAATAACAAATTTACCTGAATATGGAGAAGAATTTGATAATATTGATAAACGAAAATTATACATAAGATGGTATATCAACAATAATTCATTAGAAATCGATCAGCAAAAGAAAATTCTTCAAATTGGAGA